TCAGATGGTCGAAAACAATAGAACACGGTTCTTATACGTTCAATATGATTGTAAATGATGGATTAATCACTTGGAAAATAAAATACACCTCTTCCGCAAATCCAAGAATTGCTGCTTAAATCCTTATTGTTGCTTGAATATCTGATAAATCTCCATCAAACCATCCCATAAATTATCATATCAAGACTATGCCAAGATTACTATACCAAACTTATTTTTCAAGAAAATCTGCAGTTTTTATTTGTGGCTTCCAAAAAAAAACGTCGGGGCTCCATCAGCTTCCAGAGCTTCTCAATCTTCTCGCTCTGCTCCCCGATCTCCTCCTGGCGATGGTGGATTCCTCCAGGAGATGGTGATAATCTGGGGATACCCTCTGGTTATGTCAAAATAGCTATTGAAAATGACCATAGAAATAGTGAGTTTTCCCATTAAAAATGGTGATGTTCCATGTATGTTTACCACAGGGTAACACCTGCTAATTTCAGTAATGTTGCTGTTATCCCCATATGAATATCACCATAGAATAACATGAACATGTTTATATCAATAGAATCAACGAATATGTTATGATGACTGATTGAAAGATAGAATAAATGATGGGAGATGATGGTAGCTGATTATAATTTAAGAGTTTGCTCTTGAAAATGACCCGTTTCATTAAATTGACGTACCTATCAAAATGGTGATCTTCCATAGTTGTGTTAGATTACCAGAGCGTAAGCTCAATGCCATCCCAACCATCCCCACCAGAGGTTTCTGAAATTAGCACCCAACCAGAGGCTCCCAGTTTTGGGGACACTACAACCCATCCATTTTGGGATTTAACTGTTGAACCAGATCAATGGATTTTGGAAATCAAAGAAGCTTGGTTGCAGGACGAAAAAACGAGTGTTGTTATCTTTATCATCCCAATGTATAACAATAAAATATCGGGATTATGTAGATGTTTGTTATCACAAAAAAGCAACTCAAGAATTCAAGAGCTCATCTCCCTGCAATTCCGACTGACAATCCACTCTCCAGTTGAGCAGTGCTTAAAAGCCTCTGTCAATTTATCAATCAAAAAATACTGCTTGGTTTATAGATATTCCCGCAATGGGTCATACTACTAATAATGATCCCTATATTAATCTAGGTACTAGAAACCCTCTATAATAACTCATCAACTATTCCCATCATGGGGCATAACAATCCCGATATTAAACTAGGTACTAGAAATCCCTATAATAACTAATCATGACACATGACGATGAAGTCGCAGCCAAAGGACGCTGCCGGGCATAGGTCTCTTGGTGGTTTGGTCCAGTAGCGAAAACGAGGACTTTCTCTTCATGTCCTGGGAAAAAACTACGACTGGATGTACACCCCAGTGAACAACTGGAAAAAATAACTTAGAACTAACTTCGTATAGATGATTATAGACATATAAATAATAATTAATATTGATCATATTGTACATTGTCATGCATTATCGTGCGTTTTGTTACCTGGGGGTATTCCAAATGGAAAAAGGCTTGCACTTAGCTTACTTCCGCCATAACAGGATGCATTCCATTTTTTCCTACGTAGGGGGATCAACAAAAATACGAGAGGAACGGGGATCTACCAGAGAAGAACTGGTCTTGCAGTATCGCATCTTTCCATGATGCAATTTTGGCTCAAATGATGGAACGGTTGGATGTGCTGCTACGAATGTGGTGATAGTGATGCCAATGTCCTTTTTCGCGCTTGTTCAGCGAGGATATCCATCATGTAAAGCAGCTGGTGAAATTCACAACTTTGGTCTAAGAAACGAAATCATGGGCATGATCCGAACATTTGGAAATGGCTCAAAATCATCGACCAGGTAACCCAAGCTTGGTCGTGCTTCGCTGGTTCTAATCCTATCACCCTAATGTTAAACACCCCATAAATGGTCCCAATTATGTGGAAATTCCCTACTAAACCAAGGTTTCTAAGGGGGTGTTTAATATATTTTAATATTAGGGGGAAGGGATTATTCCCATCTGTGGTTGAAAAAAATCGTCGCTTCTGCCCATCGGTGTTGTCTCAGTCCCAAACAGGCTTGCTACCAACATCATGCCAAGGAAAATCATCCGCAAATACATGGTTACCACAAAAAATCACAGATTTCCATCCTTCTACCAATCGTTGACCCGCCAAAAATGGGTGGAGCAACGATTGGATCATCTCTAGGGGGCTGGACAAGGTGAAAGTTGAGCCAAAAATGGTGCAGGGAAAAAGAATAGTAATAATATGTAATAATAATTAGTTGAAGTGATAATAGTTGACCAAAAATGATTTTTAAAAAAAATGGATGGCTCACAAGTTTCTTTGCCCAAAATCCGGTTCCAGGGATCCGACCTTTGGATTGGAAAATCTACGGATGAAAAGCCCTGGAGGTCCAAGGAGCAATGCCATGTTGTTTCGGATCCCACACTCCCGCGGTCGTCATGGCAACCTTGCGGCGCCGATCTATTCAAATGTTCTTTGGAACTCCCAACCATGTAGATGTTGAAAATATATGTTCCAAAATAATATATTATGATATTCTTATACATGGCGGTATCATTTTGAAACTCCTCATTTCTAGAACCCAGCAGGAAGTCAACAGGTGATGTCAACACGGCGCTGCGGCACCTGGCAAGGCACAGCGCAACCGGGTAAGCAAACAGCTGAAACGGGGGGGCTTAGTTTTTTTTCGGAGCCAGTGGCAGCAGGAGCAGCAGCAGTTGTCAACCTTGGACCTTGGATCAAAAAAAAACAGTAAAAACTACCAGGGGGTACCAATGTGAATCAGATGTTTATTAAGCTGTTTTGATGGCAATCCCTCGGGGTTGTCATTCATTGATTCATCTTGTTCAAGTTGGGGCCCCTCGGTTGTGTGTTGGTCTATAAAGCCAGCCAACTGCAGATTTTTCCCCTCGAGAAATCATTCACGTGGCTGGCAAATCCCCCATAAATTGGCATTCAACTGGGAACATCAATAGTGGATACCATCTGGTTATGTCAAAATAGCTATTGAAAATGGCCATTTATAGTGAGTTTTCCCATGAAAAATTGTCATTTTCAATAGCTATGTTAGTTCACCAGAGGGTACCATCTGGGAATGAAACATGGCAGAAAATTCCAGTCAAAATATCCATAAATGGAGGACAACCATCGAAAAAGAGCAGCATGTTCCAGCAAAGCATGTTTGATGACACCGGTCTGCAGAACCAGGCAGAGCTGATAACCCGTGGATATTCACATTGCAGTTGTGGCCCCCAACATGGAATCTTATGGAATCGGCGTTTTCCATGTTCCATCCTCTATCTTTGGGATCCATGCTGGTTTCCAGAAATCCAAAGCGAAAGTTCCAACGGTTCGGCACAACACTGGGAGTTTCCATGAATGTTGCGAGACGAACACGGCCACTTTGAAGGCAGGATCAGTCTGACTGGGTGTTTCTCATTGGGATATCCCAAAACCATTGGTTTCCTCATGAACAAATTGATAACTTAGATGAAACACCTCACCAGGTCCCGCATTTCAAGAAACCCCAACATCAGTGTATCCCAACATCAGCAAGTCAATCGTAAAGCCAAGAGTTTATCCGTCTATCCTCGCAAAAGAAAGGCCGTGTCACTTTGTCGCTAATCTTATCGAAAATATGGTGAATCATGTGGCTTAAACATGATTTTAATGGCGCATAACGGGGATGTGCCGGGATATACAACCAACCCATAAAACAACAATTCAAACCGGGAAAATGATGATTCACCAGTGAACGGAATCATCCCTCGTTGATGTGGAGACGTGAAGCCTTTGGGGGTCCCCAAGAATGACATGGATCAGGGGGTCTAGATGGGTGAAACAAATAAATGCCCACAAGTTGGTTCAATATCCGCACTCAGTCTATCCCATCGCAAAATGATGTTCATAGTTTCATTGGCATTACAGTCAACCCCTTATCCTTATCATTGTGGCTTTGATAGCCAGTCCCGACAACCCCGGTGAGCAGTGCTCGGTCCTTCCGTCATCCCTGCATTACAAACCGGCAGTATAAACCTATATAGAAGACCATCAGGCATGTCAATATAAGTATAAATCCCATTAAATCCCGCTATACCATCATATAAACCAACAAGATCCAAGACGTGTAACTCCCATGTGATCAATCCAACATCGATCAGTGATCATGTAACTAAGATAGCTATGACAACTAAGATAACGATCAACCAATGGCCATGCAACAGGAACCGATTGATTGGAGGTACCTACCATATATAAGGCCTATTTGTTAGGCCTATGTAAGGGAATATCCCCACAAAATATGGTCTTATAAATGGTACAGTACCTCCATTTTAGGATCCTGAAATTCCCATTGAATCAACCAAAAGGGCTCAAAAAAAGGGTTCCTTTTTGCCCGCACCCCTCCCTCTCGAACCTCTCAAGTGCAAAGGCACCACGGGACCGCCTGTGGTAAAGACTCATCAATGGGATTCCAAACGGAAGGAGTATATTTTGTACATATGCGTTTCATAAAAATCGATAGTGTATATATATATATATTATATTATATTATATTATATTATATTATATTATATATATATTATATTATATATATATATATTATATATATTATTACTTACTATGTATTACTATATGTGTAGACACTTCATAGAATTCCGGATACCCAAAGACTGGAGGTAATCCCATCCCAGATCCCATGGCTCCACTCAAAGAAAATCCATGCCTGTCACTGGCTGTGCAGAAAAGCCGGCGGTGGTTTTTTCAGACACAAAGATGAACTTACCCGGCCTGGTAAACATAGAAAAAACTATGGAAAGATCCACCATTTTCAATGGGAAAATCCACTATCACAAAAACAACAAGCTGTGTTTTTTCAATGTTACTCCTTGTTTTTGTTAGTTCATCTTCAGCCCTCGGCTCAACTCCTGCCAGCGGTTGGGCCGCTCGCAACTAAAGGTTGAGAGATCGGACTGTCGGTGTGAGCCATGGATGACTTGCTCCAGACTCCCGGTGATGTCTGGACTGGGCTGGTGCGCACACACGGTGCCGCAGCTGCGACGTGCCTGGCTCACGGGCAATCTGCCCTAGTGAAGGGCATCGAATTCGAAGAGGATCGCCTGGTTGCGCTCTACAACATGAAGAAGGTCTATGACGAGACCAGTGCAGCCTGGCTCCTTCTATGGCAGAATGACTCCATTTATGTCTTCCATCCCGGACACGAAGGAAGTGATCCCAAGGTGTGTCAAGGAAGTGTGTGCCGGCATGGGAGGCATAGGCCAAGGCCTTGAGGCCGTTGGGTTTACCCGGGTCGCAGCTTTAGACTGCAATTCCCTGATGTGTGACACCCTCAAACTGAATGGGACCCCCGGAGTGATTTTGGGGGATGTGATGGTTGACACGGATAGAGCCGCCTTGCATCAGACTCCACAACCCATGCGATGTCTAATTGCCTCAGGGTTCCCTTGCCAGCCACTCTCTAGCCAAGGGGACATGAAAGGTCAGGCAGACAACAGGTCCAGGCCCTTTTATGGGGTGATCAAGCTGGCTTGGGAACAGCAATGCGCAGCGCTCTTGTTGGAGAATGTGAAGGGGGCCCTTGATGCCAACTACATCCAGGAGGGCATTCAACGCTTAGCCTGGAGCCTTCACATGGACATCGTCCAGACCATCCTCAACCTGGACCGCACTTGGCCTTGCAGAAGAACGAGATGGTGGGTCCTCATCAAGCCGGTGGAGTACAGACTTCATGGAGTTCCTGACCTTCCTGATGATCCTTTGCTCCGAGTGGTGGGGCAATTGTTTCCCTTGTGGCCACGATGGAGCTTGGACGAGGAGGAAGAATTGGAGCTCACGGATCATGAGTTGGAAATCCTACGAGATCGTCGCTATGGCAATGACCTGAGGCAAATCAGCCGAGAGGACGTTGTCCCATGCTTCTTGCACAGCTACAGCAACCCTCTCCGAGGTTGTCCCTGCGGATGCAGATCTGTTGGATTCAGCACCTACCGCCTTCTGCGCGATGGGGTCAGAGGATTCTTCATCATCAGCATGGTGACGGGCAAACAGCGATGGGTACATCCACGTGAGGCAGCCATCCTATGCGGACTTGATCCAAGGATGCAATTTCCCAAAGATCTTCGAGCCGGACTGTGTCTTGTGGGGCAGTGCGCATCACCCATTCAGGCTGCCTGGATGGGATCGCATCTGATTGATGCAATGCAGGCTACACAGGGCACTCCACAACAGATGCTCCTCCTCTACAAGATGTGGCTCCTTCGACAAGCCCATGGTTTGGTGCCGAAAAGAGCACTGGCACCACTACGCCTGCGGGATGAGGAGGAATGCACAGAGATTGACATGCAATTGGGTGGTTCGACCACGGTCATTGACGTGTTGGAGGCAGAGAAGCGACTTCAAGGAGGTGGCTATCTTCTGAGCGTCATGGATCTGTATGGCAAACTCCCAGAGGGTTATGACATCACTCAGGGAGCAGTTGCAGGATTACTTGATCTTCAACACCGACCAAAAAGGCAGAAGAAAACGCTCGAGCTCAAGCGGATCATGGTCACTATTTCTTTGAAGCAGGCAGATGGGAGCATTGAGGAACACAACATGGAGATGATGTCGGGCACCTTCGTCTTTGAGGCCATGCGAAACATCCCAGGTCTTCCACAGGTCTACTACAAGCAGATCTTTGACAACGAAGGCAATGAGTGGAGGCTGGACGAGAGGATTTGGCAGAACGTGACCTTTGTCCAGTATCATCTACACAAGGAGATCTGTGCCTGGGGAGCAGTGAGCCCGTGTGAGAAAGGATTGGGCAACGAATGCATTGACAAGTGGGCCAAACGAATGCTCCATGAGATGGACCTATTTGGCCTATGCACATGGATTCCAGCCCTTCAGTGCTCGTTGCTTGTGCATTACACCGATGATGTCATGCTGAACCACTGGCTGGTGGCGGCGCTTCATGGAACACTTCGTGGATGTGCTGTACTACATGGTCACTGGGTCTATGTCGAGGTGAAGGTCACGGGCAATATGCTGCAAGTGAAATGCTGGGATGGGATGGATCACCAAGCCAGAAAGTTGATTTGCCGCTTTGCAGAAGCAGCCAGAAGAATTCTGGTCATCCGCACTCTTGCGGTTTCCTTCAATGCCGAGTTTTCGCAACGAGGCCTGCACACATGTGGAACCGTGGCTTTGATGCATCTGGGCCACTCCATCGGGTATTGGACAGATCGTGTACTTCCTGATGAAGAAGAATGGTATGCAGCCATGCAGACTCACAACGCAGGCAGCCTCTATGGGCTGGGACGTCATCAAGAAGATGAAGCAATTGTGTTGGAGCTGCGAGACATCTTGCATCACCATGGAGTTCCGCTTGAGAAGACAGAAGAACGTGCATGTCATGCCATCAAGAAGATTGGAGAAGGACCCATCACCACGGCACTTCGCAGCCGCAATGCATGGGCATCATTGAAGGCCTTGGGATCGCAGCCCAAACACAACTTCTTATGGGTGAAGCCGGATGAGCTGGAGAAGCAAATCAAGTTCAGAGCACATGCAAAGTACAAAGCCTCGGTCTCAGAGAAGAAGAAGGAACCAGGTCATGCTGCTGGACACCGGGTCAATATGGATCCCAGGTCTTTGGGACTGGTGGCCGGGACTTTCGTGTCAGAAGATGGTCGAGACCTGACTCAGCTGGACATTGAAAGCGTGGCCGCTGACAAAGCAGGTGTGGCATTCGGATCGCTTGAGGACGTGGGCCCATTCCTGAGGGAGGACAAGTCCATCTCCATGGATGCCCTTGCAATCATTACCACGACTCCAGTGCCTCCGTCGAGCCAAGGGCTGATGCCTGTGGTCAATCTCCGCTTCCCGGCGATCTACATCCCTACGAAAGAGATCGTGCTCATTGAGGGATCCCTGGTCCAGCTTGGGGACTGCTCGGTCATCAGGAAGCAGGATGCCAGCATGGCTTCCATGCAGCCGGTGGAGACCCAGACTTTTAAAGTCTTGGTTTGGCAAGATGAGACGCAAGGCAGATGGAAGGACTTCACAACAGCTCCGGTGAAGAAGATCATCGAGGTTTTGCCCAGGTTACTTCTATGCCGTGGTGACCGATGTGGCCCGGGCTGCAAGCGCTTCCATGCTCCAGTGGACTGTGAGCTTGACCAGGTGGTGGTGGATCTGTGGAATCGAGGATGGTATGGTTCAAAAGGAAAAAGGGTTTCTCCGGAAGAAGCAGAGCATTTCCAGGTCCACATGAGGATTCCGAGGATCTGCACAGAAGGGCTCCAAAGCAGATCTGGCCAAGATGGAATCTATATGGAACCCAGACGTGAGGATGGGAAAGGCCCAGCAGATGAGTTCACAGTCATCTGGCTTCCGGGACTTGGAAAACAAGAAGCTTTGCACCGACTGAAGGTCAGTGACCGTGGAGTGGCTCTTGCCAGATTCGGCAACCGTTTTGGGATCAGAGTGTTGGGCCGCGATGCAGAGGCTGTGCACAAAGACATCTTCCCGGACAAGCCTTTCCAGCACGTGAATGTCCAATCGGTCTATGAGTTGCGGCCGCTGCCCTATGGCATTCAAACTTCGGGGATCAGAGAGCTGCTGAAACAATGGGGATGGAAAGCCAAGGTCCTCCAACCCTACAAGGCTGACCAGCATGGACAAGGGTGGCTAGTTGGCGCTGAGACCCCCCCGCCGATGAATGTCTTCCAGACGAGCAATGGCGATGTCTTAGTGACCATGCACAAGCGACAGACCCCGGAGAAGGCCGAACAGACAATTTTGGCACCCACCAAGACCAAGTCCTTCCTGAAGAAAGCACCAGCTCGTCCCAATCGAGACATTGAGAATGACAAGGAGAACATCATGCCATGGAGTGGGATGGATCCATGGGGAGGCTACAACAAATTTCCAGAAGGACAAGATCATGATGTACCGATGGCCAGAACTTCCAAGATGGACAGACTTCATCATCAGGTACATGAGGTGGTTGAAAGCAGTCTCAAGGATGCCACAGAGCAAAGATTCTTGCGACTCGAGACTGGCATCACGGAGCTGCGAGAACAGAATCAGAAGTTCGAGACCTGGTTTGGGGAGGCGGGGCAAAGCACAGCTGCGCTTAGGCAGGATGTCAGTGCCCTCACCGTGCAGGTCAAAGAGAATCAGCAAAACATCAGTACCATGTCAGGAGAGATTCGCTCAGGCTTTGCAAATCTCGAAGCTCTCTTGGCAAAGAAGCAACGCCAAGAATGATGGTGCGTGCCCGGGCCCTGCCCTTCTCGCAGGGCGCCGGGTCACCACAGGGCGAAGATTTGGAAAGCTTTGGTTCTCCTGTGCTCTCTTTTTGCAGGAGCTCAAGCAGATGTACAAACCTCTTCTATGGGGACGGAGATGAAGCATGAGGGTGGCATCATCTCTGAACTTCACACGTTTGAAGATGTCAAGCAGACTGCTGATCTCAGGACCGTCCACACGGGAAGTGATCGTTTTGCAGTTCTCACGCACAGCTTCACAGACCAGTTCCTGGAGTTTTTGAGACAACGCCAGCAGGCGGTTGAAGCTGCAAATCAGATTGCAGCAGAAGATGCAGACATTGATGATGATGATTGGGAGGAGGAATCCCTGGGAGATCGCACAGAAGGTGATGTGACTATTCTCCAAAATCTTGGGGGAGAACGGCAATGGAGGTTCTTCCGCCCTGATCCGTTCCGCTTGGGGCGAAGTACTACGTTGCAAGTTCATGTACAAGCACATCATACGTTGCAAGATGTGGAATTACAAATCGTCCAACACTGGCCTGACCTGAGAAATCCTGCAGCCAGATGGAAACTTCAAATGGTGCATGGCTCTGTGGATGCATCCGTGTATCTTGAAGCAGGGCATGAGGCTTTCATCGTGGAAGTGAACCAGGATCTCCAAGTTGGACAAGTGCCCATCATGTTTGAGTACCAGTACTGGGATGTCACACAGAATCGGTTCTATGGGATACTTGAATCCAGAGTACATTCCCACCTGATGAGAGGAATTTCACTCATGTTCAGGGATGTGACAGGACATGAATGTCATGCACGTCCTTGCTTTTCCAACCTGAACGGAAGTCCGTTGGAAGCCTTTGAAGAGTACACTGTTCAGAGCGGGGATTACATTGTTGTCAGTGGAATCAGTACCTCGCGGGAAACGATCCGCATTCTTGGATTTTGGAGCCCATATGCCACAGTGCGTGAGGTACCTTTGACGCAAGCATTCTCACGTAATGTCGGCCAAACTATGATGACTGAACTTGTCTCATTTGAAAAAGGTCAGGCCAATGCCGCGCTTCTTCAGCGCAACATGGTGAAGGTGCATCATGACCTACAAAGAACAACCAATGCGGATCAACTACGGCCCGGCACCATCTTGATGATTGCTCCTATGGATGGATATGATCCTCAAGAAGTGCACCCAGTACGGATGACAGAGGTCCAAGGACACGGCGCAGCTTTGAGTTCCCGCTTCTTATCGAAGCGTTGGTGGAAGCAAATATGCTTGAGCACAGCTGGGACGGAGCCTTTGCCCAACCATATCACACCGTGTATGTGCTCACCTTGCCCGTCACATTGAATCCTCTTGATCAAGTGATGTTGATACGCCCTCCACGAGAGATCATTCAGGAAGTTGCCATTCTTGCTGAGTTTCGGGTGGAGGGCATACCACAAGATCAAGAGCGGTACGGTCAATTTGAGATTGTCATGGCTTTTGTCAACACGCCCACAACCCTGCATGGACTCCTACAAAGACTACATCTTGAACGTGAATGTGCTGAACACGACTGTCTCGTATCACTCAACGAAAGAGTCCTTCGGCAAGACCAGCTAACTCCTTCACATCACCGATGGAGATGTAGTTCGGGTATGGTACTCCGTTCCACAGAGGATTGAAGAAAACATTGGAGCAACTAGCCTGGTGTGCCATGCAAATCAAGCTGGTGGCCTAAGCGAGGCAAGTGAGATTCGTGCTCCGAATGCATCAGCTTCAGAGAGGCCACCTCTACAATATCTCCCTGGCACACTCCACCACTGTCTTCTCTATGTTGGCTGGCTTTGGAGGCTTCTGTCCAAGGTTCTCCGCAATCAGCCTGCAAGGAGGAAGAGGAAATATGGACGAGGACGAGATATTACTCAAAGCTTCATGCCCTTCAACAAGGGAAACACAATGCGAAGAATGCGGCCGCCCACCAGCACTCTTTTCCTGATGACTGCTTTGGTGTCCATGATGTCCCTTGGCGGAGCCATGCGGTTCGGGGAAGCCTCACATCCTGGTCCTCGTTTTTGGCTTGGCACAGTAAATCCTTCCGGTATGGCCGGAAAAGAACGGCAGTTTGCCGAACTTCCAGCAGGTACATGGGGAATCACAGAAACCCACCTGTCAGGGGTCAACCAGAAGGCAACAATCCGGAAAATCCAACATGAATCTGGACTCTCCGGTAGAACACTGCAATGTGCCCCAGGGGCTCCACTGCCAATTCGCGCTCGCTCAACGCACTCGGGGACATGGTCCGGCGTATTGACACTTTCTGACTGGACATTGAGGCCTGTCCAATGTCAGTGGCCCAATGGTGAACATAACCTTGGAAGAGTGCAAGTGGTTCAATGCTCGTATGGGCCCTTCAACATGACCGGTGCCACCATTTATGGATGGCCAAAGAGCCCAACATGGCCCAATGCAGTACGGGACACCAACTCCCTTTTTGACATGGTGGTTCAGGAGATTGGAATGTCTCGAGGAGGACCTCGCTATATCCTTGGTGACTTCAATCATGATCTTGAGGCACTACGAGGATGGGAAGTTCTCCAAAGAGCGGGATGGCGAGATGTGCAACAATTGGCCCATGAACTATGGGGTCAAGACTACCGCATGACGTACAGGGACTCCTCCATCACTGATCATGTATTGGTCTCTCCGGAGTTGATTCCCTACATAGTGGAGGTTCGATGTTGGAGCTGGTTTGCCGACCATATGGGACTCGGAGCTTGCCTTGACGTTCCCATTGTCAAGCTGCAACAAAACGCCTGGCCACTGCCAGCTGAAATTCCTTGGCAAGCAGTTCGATATGAAGACTGGAGACAAGCACATCATTCTCTCCCTCAAACGGCAGATTTTGGTATTGATTACAGAGTTCAACACTGGGCCAGATCTTATGAGAATAGCCTGGGTGGATACTTTGATACTGCAGTTGGTTCTCTGCCTACTTCCTGCCGTGGAAGATGCCAACAATCTGAACCAGTTCAGCGATCAGTGGAATGCCCTCTCGTCAAGCCGTCACGCCCAGGCGAGGTTCAGATGAAAACTGACCTGGTAGGGCGGGCAGTTCACAGATGGTTTCAACAATTGCGACGACTGCAGAGCATGGTTCATGCTAAGAATGCAGACAAGAACACCCCGGAAGCAATTGAATATCGATGCTCCTTGTGGAGGGCTATCAGGACAGCCAGAGGATTTGATGGAACCTTTGAAGTTTGGTGGAGAACAAGACCCACTCAAGCTGCCGGCCTACCGGTGGACTTTCCACAAGAGCCACCTACCGCTGCTTTTTGTCGGGCCATCTTTGAGGACTTTTTGATCAACTACAGAAACTTTGAATCATGGCATGTTCGACATCGCAGGAAGTTGCTTACTGCCCAATATCAAGCCAACACCAACAAGATCTTTGAGGTGACGAGAAAAGAACCAAGAGGTGGAGTGAACTACCTGGAAAAAGTCACAGCAGCAACCGTCCTCGGCAGCAGTGCTGAAACTGGTCAAGTTCATGTTGATCTTGGGCATACTCTTCAATTGCCTGCAAACCTACATGTCATGGAGCAGGTCATTCCTATCAGTGCGCAGGATGACCAAGTCCTCACTATAGATGGTGAATGGATCTTTCAGGATGGAATCGAGGTGGATATCGTGGAACAAGCCTCGACCACTCAAAAGCTGCACCAACAATTGGTGGATTTCTGGAAAGCTCGGTGGTGGAAAAATCCATTACCAAAACCTGAAGAGTGGGAGCGTATCATCAACTTTGCAAAGGCATTCCTACCGCCTGGCAGTTTAGCACATGTGGACATCTCCACGGAATCTTGGAATGAGATCAATCGGCGCTATGGACCACGTGCAGCCCGAGGACCTGATGGCCTTAGCCACATGGATCTTCGGATGATGCCCTGGCAATATCAAGAGCAGTTGGTGGACATCTTGAATCACTGCGAGAGAGAAGAGTATTGGCCTGAAGTCTGGAGAACTGGCTTTGTGCACTCTCTAGAGAAGAGGGAGGGAGCTTCCAAAGTCAATGAATTTAGGCCAGTGATCATCTACTCTGTCATCTACAGGTCGTGGGGATCGTTAAGATCAAAGAGGTTCCTCCAGTTCCTGTCGAAACTGGTTGATGAGAAACAATTGGGATTTATGCCTGGCAAAGAGGTGGCGGAAATCTGGATGCTACTGCAAGGACTCCTTGAACGAAGTGTGCAAGAAGGAGAAGAACTTCTGGGCTTTGTCACAGACATCAAGAAAGCTTTTGAGTCATTGCCCCGAGAGCCCATTTTTGCAATTGCTCGTCATCTGGGACTCCCAGACAAGCCGATGCGTTTGTGGAAACACTTCTTAGATCACACATCAAGACGTTTCCTGGTGAGAGGTGAGGTCAGTGATGCAGTCTATTCCAATCATGGATTTCCCGAGGGATGCTCGCTTTCATGTGTGGCTATGTCTATTGCAGGCATTACACTGCACAGCTACATGAATGAGTTTTCCAGACGTTGTGGAACTATCTCCTACGTGGATAACCTGGAGCTCTTGGCCAGAGCACTTGGACCACTTCAGCAAGGAGTATGTACATGCAAGCATGGACCGACATGTGGAAACTGGAACTTGATCATGAAAAATCCTACATCTGGACCAGCGAAGCTGGCTCTCGACAGGAAGCGAAAATGCTTGGCTGGAATGTGATGAAATCAGCAAAAGACCTTGGAGCGCAGCTTAACTATGGCAAGTCCAACAATGTGAAGATCCAGACTCAACGGTTTGCTTCTTTGGAGACAATTTGGCCTAAGCTTCGGCGCTGTGTTGCCTGAACTGGCAAAAACAACGGCTGCTCCGACAGGCGATTTGGCCGAAGGCATTCTATGGCGTCTCCATCTGTACACTTGGCTGGGGACACATTAAGACTCTTCGCACCGAGGCAATGAAAGCACTGGGATTTCAGATGGCTGGCGCTTCGCCCGGACTCCGCTTGGGGCTGCTATGTCATGAACAATGTGACCCTGGATTCTTCCAGGTTTGGCAAGTCCTCACTACATTCCGACGGATGGTCCAAAAAAGACCTCTGTTTGAGCAAATGTGGAAGGAGTACATGGACCACTTTGATGGCACGACCAAGCAGGGCCCTTTTGCTAAAATGCTGGAGGTGTGTCAACAACTACGCTGGTCTATAGAAGTGCCGCGGATTGCCGACGCTGATGGGTGCTGGCATGACTGGATCAGCATGAATGAGAAAGTGCTCTATGAACTTGTGAAGGATGCCTGGGCATGGAAAGTGTTTCGAGAAGTTCAGAAACGCAAAGACCTTGAAGGCCTTCAAGGGATCGATAGAAGGGTTCTACTGCAAGCTCATGCTCGAGTACGCCCGCATCTTTTGAGTTCCATCTTGAGGCTGCAGGATGGAACTTTTATCGAACCTTCTCAACATGCCAAGTATGACCTGAGCAAGTCAGCTCAATGTGGACTTTGCGGAGGTGAAGATTCAATGGAACACCGGTGTACTGGATGCCCACAACGCCAACCAGTGCACATGAAACACCAAGACATTCTGCATAAGTGGGCCACTTTCTCCAGGGCTAAGAGGATTCATTTGCTTCCCTCGAGCAATCCACACTGGCCGCACTTCAAACAGATGGTTGCTATCAGAGAGGACTCATGGAAAAGAACACGTGCACTTTCTGAACCAGAGTTGTGCCATCTATTTACTGATGGATCATGCCATGGAGGTCGACATCGTCTATATCAACTTGCGGCTTGGGCGGTAGTCAGTGCCACTAGTGATAGCTGCATTGCCTCAGGCGCTTTGGGAGGTCTTGGACAAGATATCGATCGAGCTGAGCTGCGAGCGATCATTGCTGCTGTTCAGTATGCAGTGGATATCCAAAGAAACACAGTGGTTTGGACAGACAGCACATTTGCAGCAGAAGGTTTGGTTCGGCTTTTACGAGATGGAGATGATCTTCCTGATGGTCATTGTGCTGAAGATTGGATTGAGCTTCAAGGGCTTCTTTGTCATCGTGATGTTCAGATTTGGGTTCATCATGTACCCGGACATGCACACTGGGTCAATCAAGATGCCGACGTCGACAATTGGGCAGCGCGTTGGAATGATCGAGCAGACAGGGAAGCCAATATGGCTATGAAGATGCATGGAGAGGAACTACTGCGACTTCATCAACAACTTTGGGAACATCATGAAGGAGAACTTTCTGATGTATGCGCACTACAAGCACTTCACTTGGACATTTTAGAGAAACCACAGCAGATCCAACAGGATGATGGTCACCTTGACACGGGAGGGGATGAAGGCCAATATGACTTGCGGGTTGAGCGTGGTTGCCCCGCAAGTCATTCTCCGTTAGTTGGCCTTCCCAATCTAGATGATGCCCGTTGGGAGACGATTCTGGGATCTTTTGGACAGACCTTTGTGGTGAACTTTGTCCAGGTGATTCGAAGCTGGGAGGAGGATGCCAGTGCGGTTACCTGCAAGCTTTCCTTCTTGGAGATCGCAGTATTTCTAGCCACAGAAGGCAAGAGATGGATTCCGATGCCACATTCGACCCAACCGGGATGTTGGCAAGATCGAGATGCGTTCAACTTCAACGAGCCGAACCTGGGTGCGCTGGTCAGGCTTGCAAAAGCCTTCCTACGGAGCATTGATCGGCGCTTTTCCCTTGAGATCAGATGGTGCAAGGGCATCAATCTGAATTTTTTAGGTTTGTGCACACCCCTGGATGGCTTAATTCTGGCCATCCCAGGAGGTGTTGCAGAACGGTCTATGGACCACCTGAAGGGTTTCACCAGGCGCAGACCCATTCGAAAAGCCAACGATTTGGCTAGGCCATTCCGCGCCTGATTTTAGTTCAGTGTCACAACTGCCACTGCACATGCTGTGGCATTGAGACCGACAGTGTGTCCGCGCGTGTTAGTTCATCTTCGTGTTTTCTTGCGTCCCAAAGAGTGTTTTCCCACGGGAAAATTCTTGAGTCTCAAGTTTTGCATCTCCACAAGACTTGCGTCAAATTGGGACACCCAAAAGGCATGGTTGACCAGATTCAAGAAAATCTTGATTTCCATCGCCAGGAGAAAAAAAAGGCAGCCAGGCCCGGTTAACCAAAGAATCACAGAGATGCGTTTCTAGAAATGTTCATGTTTTTTTTCACTCGAACTCATCAACGATCATGCTTGGGCAACTCAATTCATAGCTCCAACTGGCTCCACATGGCCAGAAACTTGAATGTCTAGAGCTCCCTCTGAAAAAAAAAAACACTCCAGACTGAACAAAATATGCCATAAACTGGATTATATCAGTCACTTTGTTGTCCAGTTGCAAAGGATAATAAGATATTGCAACTGGATATTGTCCTACGTATATACATCATCAAACACCATAAGTTATTTATCCATCTGTTATAACTGGGAACATATCCACTTACATATGCATATATCCCTTTGCTCCACCTAAATCTCCATATATCATATGAGCCATTAAGAATACCCCCCCACCGCATTATATATAATCATTATATGTGTTGCTACTATGGGTTTTTGATCATCCCCAATGACCGTGGTAGTATAACTGCCAACAAATTCACGAATCAATCAGGGTGCCTTTCGAACACCCGTCGCCTGCCGCCATCCTCAACCACCTTTCGCCACCCCGTCATGACTGTCGACCTCAGGTGTGATGCGATGCTTAAACCACCGGATCCACCAGGGAGTGTCAATGGGGATTCAACGGCGACGAATCTTCGCCCGGAAATCAATCTGGCTGATGTTTGAAGCAGCGCAGACCATTAAAATGTTGGGTTTCTACCAGGACTTTGGGATCACGAGGACACCACCAGGAGTCATTGGGATGCAACGAACAAAAAATTTTTAACAGGTCACATCTGGGACCCGGCAGCCAACCACGATCATGCGTCTCCAGCCAGAGGAGAAGACAATGGCGACCCTGGAGAAAAGGAAAATCCATGGGAAACGATTGGAAAAACAGGAATCATATCATGAGATTTAATGGGATCTAATTGGATGCAATGGGATGTAATGGGATGTTATGGGATGTAATGAGACTAGAGTGAGGATAATCCACCAAGACTCATGGGATATTAGTGGATTTCTCTGAAGACATCTGGGAAAACACTGGAAACTAATGGAACAAACAGAAATATACATGGAGCACAATGGGAATATACTTGCAGGATGGGATTACAATTACAATGGATTATGGGAAATCCCTAAGGGGAAAAACATCAATAGGAAACTAATGGATAAACCGGGAATATAATTTGATATAAGAGGGGTCATAGTGAGGAGATAGGCAACTCGATATATTAATCATGGGATAAATGGTGATTTAACCGAATTTAACCAGCGAAATTATGGGAATTAATGGCAATCTCTAGAAAAAATAATTGCATGTAAAGGGAGTATAATGGGATATCATGGCATATAGTGGGACTATAATGGTGATAGAATGGGATATAGCCGGGTGTGTCTGAAAATTTGGTATACCCAAAAAATAACAATCTCATTGGGAAGCTGATGATAAATCATGACAAATCAATGGATCTGGGGCTACCCTATTTTCAGACAAATTCCTTTGGCTCCGGGGCGGCCGGGTGAAAGATTGCCTTAATGTTGACGACCCCGTGGCTGCCAATCATTTGGGGCCACGGTTTCAGCAGATTCAACATCAATTTCGGGGATCAGCCCTGATTTTTCACCTCGAATTAGTCGCAAATTCCCATTTGCTCCGGTTCAGGCATGATCAAGTTGGGAGACATGCAGAACATTCCCAGTCAAAATAGGCTCTAGCCCAGTTTCCACTCAAAAAAATCCACGTGTTTTTCGAAACGAAGCAGAAATCCTGACAGCCTATCTTTGCTGCTTCTCGGGTTTTCATGCCTACATCCCCACCCCAGATTTTGATGCCACATCGAGGCTTCGGCAGATCGCTTCTGTGCGGCCAACCTCCGGGAGACGTCACTGGAAGTCATGGAGTTTTTACGAAGCCACTGGAACATTGGAGGTACCGATTCCATATATTAATAAGGCCTATGTAAGGCCTATGTAAGGGAATATCCCAGCAAAATATGGTTGAATTCCACTAGACTGGTTGGGTGGTTGACCTACCCCTCTGAAAAATGATGGACTTCGTCAGTTGGGATGATTGATGATTCCCGACTGAATGGAAAAATAAAAAATGTTCCAAACCACCAACCAGTTTTAGACCTAATATATAAAACCTCGAGTTGGAACCTGAGGTTTCATGCAACATATTGGAACCGTGAATTCTAAACTGTCCAAACCTCCAAATGCCATGTCTGCATTTTTTGCTAATGGAAGCAGTGAATGGTTTGAGAGTAGCAAAATACCCTCTGATAATTTAACATAGCTATTGAAAATGACCATTTATAGTGGATTTTCCCATGAAAAATGGTGATTTTCCATAGCTATGTTAGTTCACCAGAGGGTAATCAAAAATTGGACGCAAAGTGCTGATGGCCAGCATTTCAAGTGGATGCAATGTACAGGAAAGGCTCGAAGGCTCGTTTCGGTCATCGGTTTCGAGACGGCGGGGTCTACACGGAGTCTGAATATGGGAAGACATGGTCAACTTACTATGGGCGAGGGTCATCCCAACAGTATTGGGGATTCCCTATATTGGATGTGTACATATTAGTAAATATATGTATCATATTGTACACTAAATATATATAATATCATGTATATATATATATAATTGTAATATATATATATATATTCTATATATATACCCAGAAGCGATGCTGCAACAACTTTGTTTTCAAATCTATGGGCCAGTGAAATGTGCATTCTGAGTAAGTGTGTGTGAAATATCCCGAGTTTCTATTGTGGATTATATCTGGTGTATTTTCACAACAAAAACGCTTCCTTGGTGGATCAATCATTGGTGGCCTATCCCAGTGAAGTAGGATTTGGTCGCTTACTTTGGGGGTGCCCAGTGAACCAAGTGGATATTATATACCCATACTTGTAGGGGCCCATATCCCAACTTATTGGGTTTTAATCCCATGGTCATACCGATACAAATGTAACCCAACTGCACTTCCAAGTAGGGTAGATTCCAGTATATCACCCATTCTATATCCAGTTCTAATTCCAGTATATTCCTTCTATATCCCTATGATATCCATCTTTGACCCCAACTACACCCCCTGTCTGTATCCCCTCTGCTGAGTTAAGGGCTTCTGGTTTCTGGCCCGCAGCCGCTCCGCACTACCTCGGCTGTTGTGGCTTTGATCATCCACTGTTTAATGTAGGATGTGTATGTTGCGTATATCTACTGTACATTCTGTTCACATATATATATATACTACGTTTGTGTATATTATGTATATGTATGTGTATATATATATATATGTATGTGTTTGTATGTCTCTGGATGGCATCGTCCAGTTACGATCCCTGGAATGCAAATCAAAGTAGAACGGCTGGTCTTTACTATTTTGCTGGTGGAATGGTCATTGGCCAACAGGAACTGTGGAAGATTTCCTCCAGTCACTGAACGCAGGGACAGTCTCCCCATCCCCCAAATCACAATGTTTATAGGTGGTATAGTTACCATTCCCAAATGGGTGATTGTCCATAGCTATGTTAGTTTACCAGAGGGTACCACATGATTCCCATTGAAAATTCCATGACAAGTTGTGGCACTCAGCTCATTTGGCATTCGGACGTGCGCACCGCAGGTCAGCCGCCAGTCGCGCCCAGCGCAACTGGGGGAGGGCAAAGGGCGGAGGGTGTCAACGCAAAAAAACACGGTGTGTATAGTGGGATGTTTACCTATTATGGTTTACAAAGTTGGTTTATGTTTATATAGCTGGTTTTTGATGGCTTGCAATGGTTCCTAATGGTTGCTACTGGCTTCCAATGGTTTATATAGCTGGAATGACATGTTGTGCGAAGTCCAGGGGGGTGTCGGCACACAAGGTCCGATCCGCCTAACGCAGCTGCAAAGCTGCCCGCAACCTTTCACGAAGAGGTCGCGTCACCGTAGCGCCATGAAGCGCAAATGTTTCCCTCCCTTAAGAGGTAATGCAGCGGAAGCCACTGCAAATGAAGTGAAATCCCTACAAAGCCCCTAGTGCATGGAGTGCACTTCACACGGGGGAGTGTTGGTGAAACTAAAATAAGGGAAACCTAAGGCCACTTTGGCCATCGTCGCCAGCACCAGAGCTCCAGTTGCAAGAAGCCTGCCCAGGGCTTAGCAATGCCAGAGGGGCCTGCACAGGACCCAGATCAGCCAGCTGCAGTAGAGGCGTCAGCGCTGCCAGAAGAAGGTGCGGCGCCAGTAGGAGCTGCTCCCGGAACCACAGGAAACATCGGGTAGTCCGCATTGGAGGTGTCGAAGAACTGAGCAGACACCAGCCATCCAGTCATGGCGTTGTGCAACGTCACGCCGTTCTCATTCTGGATGTGGGGCGTCATCACATCCTGAGCACAGGCTTGACAAGGCCACAGCTCTCGAACAAAGGAGTTGTGGAGGTGGTAGCATCCTCCATCGGTGTGCCACACCGTCCCTCTGTTCGCCACACAGATCTCACCGTTGCGGTGATACCTATTGTAGTGGTGCTCGAGCTCGTTGTGGGCCCGGTTCATCACACGCATGCCACTGGTGCGTAACCTCTCATACTCAGAAATTGAGTTTTCGAGAGACCTGATGTGTCGCTCAAACGTCACCGCCTGCTCGTTCTTCTGGAAGTAGCTTTGCTCCAAAGCCAGCAGGTTCCGTTGCAGTCTGTCTGCTTTGGCCCGCTCCTGCTGTAGGGCGTGCAGAAGCTCTGGTTGGGCATTGGCGAGATGACCTCGTAG